ATAGATAGATAGATAGATAGATAGATAGATAGATAGATAGATAGATAGATAGATAGATAGATAGATAGATAGATAGATAGATAGATAGATAGATAGCTGACACCCATCTCCTATAGTCAACCGAATACATGTATATATAAAATAAGGAACGGGCCATTGACATGTACATTGTACCGGTACCTAGATAACTTTGAACACCATTCTACAACCCAAGTTCAAGATCGGCTGTTGGAGATTCCAGCGATTGTCATTCCCTAATACTACGGGGTGCCCACTACAACTGGATCGGGCCGATCGCCCGACTCGATCCCCTGAAACTGAAAACAAACACGTTTGTTTTTGAGGCGATCGAGTCGGGCGATCGGCCCGATTGGCCGATCCCAGCCGTAGTGGGCACCCCGTAGATATAAGGTAAGACAGAATGCCTACAAACTGAGGGCAGCTATTTTCCAACCTTAAGAGCGGTACCCAAAATTGGCATCATCGGTTCGGTTTGGTTCTGTTTTTTCAGTTAGTTTTTATAAGTGTGGGGCTAGCCGGATTGTTTTCCACAGGAGGGGCAAAACCGACGAAACCAACAAAACCGACAAAATCGACGAAATCGACGAAACCGACGAAATCGACAAAACCGACGAAACCGACAAAACCGACGAAACCGACAAAACCGATGATGACTTTCAATAACAAACGTGTTTGTTTTCAAGGCCGTGTGTCGGGCGATCGGTTTGGGCAGTTGGTCTATTTATAGTGTGCACTGGCGCCACCAAAAACCGACCGAACCGATCCGATCCGATCCGATCCTCCAATGAGCTCTGGGCATTACAATACGTTGTCTACAAACAGATCTACTTCAGATGTTCGAAGTCCAAACTTTTCCTTTCAAAAAGTTATTTTTGCTCTGTCTTTATCTGCGGTGTCCGTTGCGTGTGTAAAAGCAATAATGTGTCATTATGCAGATTCTAAATATTGAAAAAGGCCAGAAAGGTTGCATAAAATAATTATAATACATTATGTACATGTATATTGTTAAAAGAATCAAAGTTGTTGGTGTTTTTCCTCTCTCTCTCCTGAAACAGGTGAAAATAATACTGGCCATAGCCACCTACTGAGACAGGAGGTTTCGTTGTCGATCCACGGAAAACGATTTAGATCTACACATGTGTATTTCCAAGAAAGCAAGAACAGATCGATAGGATGAAATCATTCATTCGTACCAACTGCAGTGAGAATGAAAGAGAGAGAGAGAGAGAGAGAGAGAGAGAGAGAGGGGGAGAGAGAGATTCGAATCACAAATAATTGGAGATTGAAACTTCGGACATCTCTAAACACCCCATCAATAAATGAAAAGTTAAAGCTTGTGCTTTACTAAAATGTTGTTATTACGTAACGTGTTCCTGACATTAATCTTTCTTCTTAATCTTATTTGTTTATTTATTTGTTTATTTATTTATGTATTCATTTATTTGTTTATCTATTTGTTTTTCTATTTTGACTTATTTATTGACTTATATATTTATTTACTTATTTATTTATTTATTTTTACTCGTATTTATCAAACTATTTATGTATTCATTTAAGTATGTGTTCATGTGTTTATGTATTTATGTATTTATTCATTTATTTGTTTATTTAAATATGTATCTATTTATCTTAAAGGCAAGCTGAGTACGCCAGGGGCTTGAGCTTTGAGACCATCTCGAGCTACGGGCCTAACGGAGCCGTCATCCACTACCGGCCCAGCGAAACCACCAACAGGGCCATCACCACTGACGGCCTGTACCTTCTGGACTCTGGCGGCCAGTACCTGTACGATCGACGTCCTTCTTGATGTTTGTTTGTTGTACGGGGTGCCCATTGGCACGATCGTTCGGTTCGCTCGCCAGATTGAGGGCGCAAAGCAGCTATCGTGGCACAAACCGATCGCCCGACTCGTCGTCTCTACAACAAATGCGTTTGTTTTATGGCGACGAGTCAGGCGATCGATTGTCGATCGGCTTGTCGATCCCGCAGTGGGCACTCCGTACTAGAATAAACTGCTACCTCAAAATTACAACGTTCTGTCTGATATTTTTGGCCTAATTGAGTCACTAAGACCTTAAGATCGGAAATCAAATGCTCTATCTTCTCTATCAAAACCTTAAGATTATTCTGAGTCGTTATCAAGATATTCAAAGGACTGCATTCGGAAAAGCCTGACATTTTTTAACTAAAAATTTCTGACGTCAAATTTCTCAAAACTAGGTACTGAGCAGATAGAACTCTGTAATTATTAGGTAGCGAAATAGCACGAAGAAGTGGAATCAGGCGCTCGTACATTTTTTAGCATACTTATGGAGTTATTTGTATAATCTTAAAGTTTGTTAATTTATTTTGCTTTTGGTGAAAAAGATTCCCAACTTTCTAGAATAGAAGTCGAGATATTTACGATTAAAGGAGATTGGGGTCACCTGATGTCAGAGGTAAAGTTAGCAAGAAAATGGAGGCCAAAGTTTGGAGATTTCCAAAGATTGAGTGTCCTTGTTTAGTTTTGTTCCCCCTTACTTGTCATGTGTCCGGGCGTACAGTTAGCTCAGTCAGTTATCGTTGGACTACAGAGCGGTTGGTCCTAGTTCGAATCACGCACAGGACATTTTAAATGTGGGTTATTTGGGGGAGATGTTAAGGTTCTCCGCCTATTTGGCTCGTACCTAGATCCATCGAAGACAGAAGTTAGATTCGGAGGTCTTGCCACTTAAATAAACGATTCAACAGTGCTGAAAGGGGCGTGAAACCTATACAATGACGACCCAAAGAGGTTATAATAGTACTAGAGGTCGCAGTTGTGACGTCACCCACGTAAACTCACAACGGCTTTGCAGCCCACTTAGCTCGCTTTGTCGCCATTTTTGAGGGGATTAGAAACAGCGATGTCACGTGCACGTTCCTCGCAACGCAAAGGTCTTCAACTTCATAGACTTCGAAGCTCAGTACAATATTATTTTACATTTAAGTTTTCTTTTCGTTTGCTTTTGTTGTTTAATCATAGAACATACTCGCATACACAATACCGCACCTGCTAGCCTACTGTGGGAAAGAATAAATGCACTTAAATGTGGGCTACAGATGACCAGAGAGATATAATGTTATTTGTATTGTTTGCTTTTCCCGGGTTTAAGAGTGGGGGGGGGGGCGTAGGGAGACATGGTGACCAATTCAGTTTGTTAAGAAAAAGGACAATTTCATACTTACAAAATGGATTGCTTTGGTTTCGGGTTTTTTCACCCTCTCCTTCTACTGATGCAAAGCCTAGGTCTTCATGGGGTATGAAGGGGGTTAATACTGGATTAATTTTTTGATATACATATTAATTCTTTATTGTCACAGAATGAGCAATTAATTGTAGCCAGGGATACTGTAAATCACTCATTGTATGGATCCTGTGCGCACACCCAAAGAGCGTTGTTTAATATCGGCCACAAATTATACTGACATAATTTTAAAATGCAAAACTTGGATAAATAGCCGGTTTATCTTAAACATTTACAATATTTTCTCAAATTGGCGTTGATTGGCAAATGGTGTTTGTCACACAACACCCATCTTCCATGAACCCCTGCTACTGTTGTTGCACGACATGCTGTTTGGCATCGTTTCCGCAAATGAGACAATGTTACGCCTGTCTTATTGGCGGGTAGTTACGCCTGGTTGGCTGTTTTATATTCTCTCATCTCAACAACGTCGACTGTGATTCTTTTCCGTTCAGCGAGCCTTGAAGGTATGCTAGAGTTGCAGCTGAAGCTGCTAGCAGCTTTTCAGTCACATTCCTGACTCCTGAGGGCCGAAACGAGCGCCTTGTTGCGGTCAGCCGTACTAAATCTAAACATACTCTTTTAGCGACGCAAAGCAAAAGATTTCAATAAAATTAAGATTTAAAATTTTTTTAAAATAAGTTATCATCAAGTCCATCTCATTATTTTTTTCTTATTTTACTCCCCCATGTGGTCTCCCCCATGTGGTCTCACCTCCCTTTGTCTTTCTCTTTTCCTTCATCTCTTTTATCCTTTCCTTTTCCAATGAACCTTTCAATGTGTCCCCGTTTTGTCCTAATTAAACACTTTTACCTTTATCCACCTTTATTATTTCAGTCTTTTATTTCGTTATCCTTGAGCACTTTAATGAATTCCAAGTCTCATTTTGTCTCAATCCCCCCTCCACCCCCTAACTCTTTGGTATGAACACATTATCCAACATGAATGATGAAAGAAATATTAATTAAGTCCTGTGTCTTTTAAATATTGTTATCTATTCCTCAGAGATGGAACTACTGACGTTACACGAACCATGCATTATGGAACCCCAACTGATTTTGAAAAGGTAGCCAACTGTTATTCTTTCTAAAGAGATATAACCAAGATGAATTACAATCCTCATTCCTAGCTTTTGTTCGCAATCATTGAAATGGCATTCTCGAGAGATTACAAGCCTCATTCAGTCGCTTTATTTTACTCTGGTATTTAGTGGTGTTAGGTACAGGCCGCCGAGAAGAATTCTGACCACCAAATTTATTTGTTTCAAAGCATTTTAACTCACTCTTGGTGCTCTCCATTGAGGTTAGAATAACTCATTATGGGTAGGAGAACCTTTATAATGCTCTTATCTTTCTTCTCATTTTTCTTGTTTTTTCTTTAGGAGTGCTACACACGAGTTCTCATGTCTTCGGTGAGCTTGGCAATGCTGAGATGGCCGGAAGGACTTTATGGTGAGCATGATCTTATTTTAGTCCCTCCGATCATACCGTACAAGGCCGCCTGAACGCATAGTGTATTTTGGTTCGCGCTAAATTTGGTTACGGTGTGGGGTTTTTTTCTTTTGTTTCTAAAAGACGTATAAACTAGACATGTTTAAATTTATTTGCTAAGCTTGCTTTATTTGTTTGGTGTATCTTAGCCAGTTCCAAACGCTATCATAGAAAGCAGGGGCAATCACTAGTTAGTTGCAACATCAACAATTTATTTAGTTTTAAATTGGTATGCTGCATGAGTGGGTCGTGCAAGGCTTTAACGCGATGAGTGGGGGGAATACATTTTTAAGTTTCTTTTGAATGCCACTGGGTAGTTTCTCAAAGCCTGAAAAAATGCGAGTGTTCTAGTGTTGTTTGCTTCTTTTTTCCTCTCAAACACATATAGTCTCTATCTCTCCTCCTTTTTCGCTTTTGTTACTCTCTTGTAACGCCTCTTATCTTCGGCACTTATAGTATATTCTTATTGTGTTGCAAGTGCCATAAAACTCTTACTAAAAGTATAAACAGAAGGGGTTGATAACAACATGTTTATCTACTACTTTCTAAGGACGCCAGATCGATGCTTTGGCCAGGTACCAACTGTGGGAGGCCGGCCTCGTATACAGACACGGCACAGGTCACGGCATAGGCGCTTACCTCAGCGTTCATGAAGGTATGACATTGGTGGTTTAAACTCATGCACTAATTTTAATAACAAGACAAAGCCCCGACAGAAATGAGGTACGAAGAAGGCGGTGGCGATTGATTGGACATCCTCTCGCGAAGTCAAGCAGCTGCATAACAAAGAAAGAACCCACAGGGTAAAGGATCAAGAGGAAGATCACTTTGAACCTGGAGAAGTCAAGGAAATTGATATACTGAAAAGGGTGAAGACATGGAATAACATCAAGCGGCTAGCCCAGGATAGGGAAAGGTGGAAAGTTTGTTTGTGGCCTACGTCTTGATCCAGGATTAAAAGGCAATGATGATGACCAATATATTATATCTTAGAACGTTCACTCCGGTGTAATTCTAATTAGTTGTGAAGCTCACCAACTCGAAACCAGGTGAAGGGCAAGTAGTGAAAAGCTGCGCGCGCACTCGACTAGATAGTGAGACCAGGGTTTTGCCGTTAAAACTTAGTTTGGACACCCATAGTGCGCATCAGCGCAGTGAACCTTTTATAGGGATTAAAGACTGGTGGCAATGATGAAGCGTGGTCTAAGATATGATTATTCAAGCATATCGTTAACGTAGAATAAGGGGGCTCTCGTGGTCTAGATGCTATGGTGTTCACCTCTCATTCGATAGGTTCCAGGTTCGTATCCTGAAAGCGACGGAACATTATCTCCTCTAATGTTTTTTTTTATATTTCACTTCCTTTCCTGCTCTCTAACCATGTTCTGTCGTCTGCTTTCGCCTCCACTTTCCTTTTTGGCTCGGTGCTATCGTAGATAGACATTAAATTCGGAGGATTCACCTCTTAAATAACCGTACAGTTACAGTACTTATAACCGAGTTGTAAGGGGCGTTAAATCATACAATGTCACACATTTTCCACCGACTGTATTATCTTACTCTGTGATCAATCTCAGCACATCTTGGCAATTTTTCTTTCTTTGTCACAGGCCCTGGACGAATTCGTTTGAAGACGACCTTAAACCCTAGCGACGAGCCCTTGTCACCATACAACTACTTCTCGGACGGTGAGGATCTTAAATTGCACTTGAAGGGCACAAGTGAAAAGCAAGAGATGTCAGTACTTTTGGCTAACTTGAGCTGTGACGATTGTATTTACAAAGTATTTAGACACCTCTTGATCTTGCCCATCTAAGAGTCCAGATCAAAACTTAATAAGTCGCCCAGTAGGGGGCTGCCAGGCTCAGTTTGTCACAATTTTATTTAAGTATTTGAGTATTGATGACAGTCATAATTACAGCACTTTCACACTCTTGTTGTAACCTAAGTTTTTTATTCTCCGCCTTCAAATCGGTGGTGTAGAGGTAGTCCCTCTAAATGTTAATCAAGTTGTGTTGTACAATATTTCTTCCTTCTTGTATGCAAATCAAAGTAAATTTAAGTTACTCTGTAAAATTTCACAAATAAATGAACTTTCGTTAAACACAATTGAAAAATAAAATTCAATTCATACTATCAATCAATCATTAATTTACTCTTTTTGAGAGTGCCAGTGATAACTTCCATCATGCAGGGCACAGTCGAGGCCTGTGACAAACTGGGCCTATGACAAACTGACATGCTTTCGCCCAGTCTTGGAAAATAAGTTATACTATAGAAATTACGTACGCCATCAAGCATTTCATTCTTGTTTATGAAAAAATGCCAAAAAGTGGCATCCCTTGTTTTTCCCTTGTCTCCTCACTTGTTTTCAGCTCCCATGTGTCTCTGAGTAAGAGAAGGTCTTTCTTGTACTGCTTAGAATCTAAGTATAATCGAGCTGTCTTGGTAAATTGTGCATGTATTTGGTGTAGCATTGACAATTAGACAATCGTTATAATTTATCTGTCAGTCACGGAAACGTTCGTCTTGGTCGTTTACAATGGCAGTGGTGTTACAAAGATAGGTGCTCTCACATTTACAAACAACAAGAAAGGACGTAAATACATACATGAATATATATGTATTACGTGCTGAAACACCTCCGCTCCATTAACATTCTCTCTCTCTCTCTCTCTCTCTCTCTCTCTCTCTCTCTCTCTCTCTCTCTCTCTCTCTCTCTCTCTCTCTCTCTCTCTCTCTCTCTCTCTCCCTCTCTCTGTCTCCCCGCTCGCTCTCTCTGTCTCTTTGTCTCCCCCCCTCTCTCTCTTTCTCTCTCTCTCTCTCTCTCTCTGTCTCTCCCCCCCTCTCTCTCTCTCTCTATCTATCTATCTCTCTCTGTCTCTCTCTCTGTGTTTCATTTGTAGTGCTATTCAGGAAAAGATGTCTTGCATAATTCGTTAAACAACAATGACACACAGGTCTAAAAGAACTTGCAATGCAACTAAAGTTCATCCATCACACAACAGTTTGCCCCATTATACTTTCTGTGAGGTCTTTTTCCACCTAAACTATGTCAACGGCGATATTTAAATTATTGATAGGAAGTGACGTAATTTGTATACAGTGGTAGGAGCAAAATAAGGTAGTTTGAAAGTAATTTCGGTAAAGAGAAAACCGTCTCTTTGCATAAGATAAGATAAGATAGATAAGATACATCTTCATTGTCCAGATCCTGGCACATTGGTTTGGTGTTCTACCACGTGTACACACACACACACACACACACACACACACACACACACACACACACACACACAAACACACACACGTGCACACACATGCACACACAAGTAGGATTACAATCACATGCATCATATAAATGAGCAGCAATATAAACAAAAATAATCGTAATCTAGTTACACACTCAATGTTATTTTGATGCATGCTCTAAGGTCGTAAGTATACTTATACAAGATGGTTAAGATGGAAGCATTTTGATAGATGATGGTAAAAATGACCTTCTGTATCTTTCTTTGTTACAGATCAGAAGCCTAGGTCTTTTTCTTCTGACTGATGTTTTTATTTGAGGGAACAAGTGCAAATATTATAGTAAATGTTTTTTGTATGTTGGTGCAAAAGTTGTAAATTATGTATGTTGGTGCAAATGAAGTAAATGTATGTTCTTTGTTGGTGCAAATGTTGTAAATGTATGTTGTATGTCGGGGGAAAAGTTGTAAATGTATGTTGGTGCAAATTTAGTAAATGTATGTTGGTGCAAATGTTGTAAATTATAAAATGTATGTTGTATGTTTGCGCAAGTGTTGTAAATGTATGTTGGTGCAAATGTTGTAAATGCATGTTGTATGTTGGTGCAAATGTAGTAAAAGTATGTTGTATGTTGCACGTTGGTGCAAATGAAGTGAACGTATGACTCTTGCTTTTCTTTAGAGCCTGGTTACTATGAAGAAAACAAGTTTGGCATCAGACTGGAGACAATTGTGATGGTCTCGCCACACACACCAAAGGTAGTTTATAGCACAGTACTATTAGAGATCTCTCAGGTTTTTTAAATGTTTTTGTTTTTTGTCGGCTTTTTTTCTTATTTAGTCTTTTTATTTTGGGATTTTTAACAGCGTAAGAAAGAACGTATTTTGTAAGTACCTTGTATTTTACTTTTGCATTGAGAGGAAAGAGTGTATTTATTATGTCATGGGCTTTTTTAAATTTTATTTTGGTTTGAAGGCTTTAAAAGATGTTTCTTATAAAAATTACTTTCTAGACTAAATACCTAATGAAAGAACAAAGTTTCATTTTGATAATACATACATATACGATGTAGCTTGTTTATCATATTAGCTAACGTGGGTGAATAGGCCTTAAGGTTCTTCGAAAAAAAAAATATTTGAAAATGTGAATACAAAACAATAAGTAGTCTTCTGGTTGTAATATTATTTTCTAGCCATGCAGGAAGTTGTCTACATAACAAGCGTTTACATGTATTCAATTATTGACTTGGCATAGGTCTAAGACCTTCAAAAGTAATAGATCTAGTAAATATTTTTAAAAACGAAATATATTTATATTAATGCAATTTTTTGTCTCCAGTACGACACAGCAGGTGTGGGTTTTTACGAGTTCAAGCCGATAACTCTTGTGCCGTTTGAACCGAAACTGACAGACCTGTCTATGCTAAATACCAAACAAGTAAGTCAAACAACTATGAATCTTAAAGATGTTTTGTGGTTTCGAATGTATAGTGCTCTGCACAAAAACGGTTGGAGTGTCGCTTAATTCAGTCGTAACTAAAAGGTAGACAAAACGTTGTTCAATTCTCTCTGATTTCAGATTCTATGGCTAAATAGGTACTCTGCAACACGGTGGTCAAAATTGTAAAAATCATAGAGCATGGTAAAGGGCGCCTAGCGTGGATAAGCGCTATAAAAATGCAATTATTGATATATTTTACTATTATTATTTAAAACTAGCTTTAAAACAAGAAGAGACAAAATTAAAAATGAAGTCATTAGGGACACCGTGGGAGCAACACCAGTCCTACTACACATTGAAAAACAAAGGGTCAAGTGGTTCGGACACCTCACGCGGATGCCCTCAAACCATCCAGCTCTGAGAGCATACAACATTAAATATTCTGGATGGAGAGCCAGAGGAAGACCAAGGCGACGATGGAGTGAATCTGTGGCAGACACCCTTAAAGATCATGGGATGTCCCTCCTACAGGCC